CTGATTTAATTTCATAAGTTGAACCCTAATATAAAGTTATTTGGGACCATAGGTTTCTCGTTGTTTATAAGCATTTTCTTCTTCTTGTCTATTTGTGGATACACTGCTTTGTCTGTTTGTTTATTTCTGTAGGGCAAGCTCCCACCAGCAGTGCTTGGCAAAGGTCAGGGAATTACTTTGTCCTGAGCTCAGAGGAGCTTCGTGGCAGGTAGATAAATCAAGACAGAAGAGAATCCCGTCTAAGGAAAGAGTTCAGAGAGGAGGCTGGCTCATCAGAAAGCTGTCTCATGATATTAGTATTAAAAGAGACCTTCAAATACCCTAATCTCTCCCCATCATTGCACTGGAAAGGCACGAAGGCTCAGAGAAGCTGAGGAACCCCCTTAAAGTCACACAGCCTGTTGGTGGCAGCTCCAGGGCTTGGGGACAGGCCTCCTAATTCTCCACTGTGTTCTTATTATATATTTTTTTCTAACAATTATAACTCTAGTCATATTTTTTCCTACCTTGCCTTGTGGTGAGTCCCATTTAAAAACTGAATGCAAAAGTGAGTAGGTTAGGGCCCAAGTCACAAGTGTCTATAGGGTCTAGACAGTTCAATGCACCTGGACCAAAGAGAGCAGCTACAAGTCTATTTGGGCAGACTTGTGGCCAGAACTTATGATGATTTTTTTTCAGGTTGAATAATATTTTGAGACAAGACTATTGGAGTGGGAAAGACCTTTACAAACAAGAGGGGACAGTGTGGTAAAGACAGAGAAATGGGAACTTAGACAAAAGCCAGTAGTGTGATTTAGGGACATAGGAAAGCTGGCTTGGTCAAGATAAAGGGATGTGTCCTGCAGCCCATGGGGCAATAGGGATGGATTTGACCCCATAGGTTCCAGGGAGGTCCACACCCAAGGTGGGATTGTTCTCTCAGGTGGGATTGTTCTCCCAGGTGGGATTGTTCTCCCAGGTGGGATTGTTCTCCCAGGTGGGATTGTTCTCCCTGGATCGCACTGTAGGACAGAGAACTAGAGGATGCATGCTTTCCCCAGACACTACTCCTGCCTCGGCGCTGGTGCTAGACAAATCTCTGGAATTGACATCATCCTTTGGGGAGAGGAAGAAGGGGGCAGGGAAAATCCTAAAATAACTGGAAAATCCTTGCAGTGATAGGTGTACTTGGAATTGACTAGACTTTCTAACTTCAGGGAGAATGGAGGTTTAAGATAGATCTCAGGTTTAAATATAGAAAAATATAGGCAGATTTCTCTATACTTAAGCCTGTGCCTATAAAAAAGTCACACTCACTGCACACACAGGAAGGCTATTCCAAATGAGGCTATATATCTTAGAAAGCCAGGTGCTTGGGTTCTTGCCCAGATGTCTTGTTTCTTTAGATAGCTGTTCTATTTCATTCCATTCGCTAAAAGAAAGCCCTGTGAGTTTTCCATACATTGCACAATGACTAAGACCTCGGCAGAAACACCAACCCTAGAAGAAAAATCAACACACTTGTTTTTTTCTACATTGAAGGTATGCTTTGGAAATGTGGAATTTCCTCCCAAATGTTTCTATTAAAACATCCCTACCCACAAACTTCACCTTGTTTAAAAAAACACATTTGTAATAGGGGAAAGCTGAATATACCTTCATCGCCATATATTGAACAGAACCCAAAAATACATTGAAAAGACTCAAAACCATTGGTGACATTATCTAGGTAATTTTGACAGTTTAGTATTTAATTTTTACTTAAGTAAATCTTCATGAAGTCAAAATAATAGGAAAATATATCCTCCATTTCTTGCAGTTCAATTTTAGGATAACCAGCAGGTCTCTAGAACGTTACAGTACATTCTATTGCAGCAACGGGTTTAAGGAGACTGACTTTGGCATCTGTGACAAACTCCACTGGGAGCCTGTGCGCCACTTTTGGCTCTACCAATAATTCCCAGTGGGGCTTGGGCAAGTCCCCAGTGGCTACTCGACCTCATTTTATCTTCCTTAAAATGAGGGGACCTTTAGCTTTCATACTCTTTGTTTGTAATTTTTTTTCATGAAACTTCTAGATTCACTGCTTAACAATTAAATCTTTTAGAATTTAAATTTTTTCCCTCCTAACAGCATGTGTTTTGACCAAAGTCCATTAAAGCTAATTTATCTATCTTCCTAAAGATTGATTCAGAATTTATCTTTATACTTAAATGTACACAAAGGTGTTGTTCATGCTGGAGGAACTGTATTATTCTATGCAGGCGTTTGCTCAGATCAAGTAATCTGGCTCATTGATTGCAAGGGACTATGAATCAATCCAGAAGGAAAAGTATTATCCGTTGGAAGGAGAGAGCATGATTTTCCATTTGGAAGAGAACAGGCACATTCCAGCAGAGACTGCCCAGTACAAACCATTGCCTAATCTCTTTATTTCCATACCAATCGTTTTATTGGCAGATTTATGAAGGTAGGGTTGTGTTTGGGGGCAGTTTGTAGTTTCGGTAGTTAGCTTTCAATCATGATTTTGCTGAATATAGCACTCAGAAATGAATTGCAATCAGTGAAATTCTGGAAGAAACACAACATGCCAGGAAGGAGTGCCACAACATCACAAAGACAGTGGAAACCAGAAAGAAAAATTAGATGATTTTAAAAGATCCCAGAAAAGATATTTAATAGCATCTGACGTTTGAATGGAGAAAGGTATTTAATTAGCAGTAAAATATGATATAAAAACAAAAAGTAAATAGAAAATAAGAAGAAAGGGATGAATTTGGAGAACTGGAAGTGAACAGTAGAAAATGAGAAATTATTCGTCTGAAGAACTTGTACCCAAGAAAAATAATTTGAAAAAATTTCATTTTTCTTCCATGGTAAAATACACACACACACAAATAGAAAAAAATTCATAAAATCAAATATCCTTTTCATCAGCATAGTTGACTTAAACCTGGGTAACTATATTTGTTTTTATCTTGGTTGTTTATTGAATCCAGGACTAGGTGGTTATAGTATTTAAATAATTTTTAAATATATTCAAGTGGCAGACAGCTAAATAAAAAAATGAATTTTCCTTAGACAACGTATACATGTATAAATTAATTAGCTGAAGCTTAAAATAAAAGGATATGTAACTAAAGAAATCTCTTGAACTTTTCTCCAAAACATTACTTTTCCGAGGTCCATTCAAATAGAGCATCCAAATTAAACATAAACAAACTCATATGAATATAACATTAAAGATTATCTGTCACCATACATAGCTATCAGATTAAAAAATGTCAGTCAAACAATTATGCCAAGATTCTTAAAGCATTAAAATCCAGGCCTCATTGAATATTTTGAAGAAAATTTGAGGACTACTAGAAACATCTTCATTATGATGAGTAAACAGAATAACCAAAATAAATTTAATGATTAAATATTTTTCTAGAAAGTTCTTTCTCAAAGAGTGCTTAAACTTGTGCTACTATTGATTTATTAATAAAGAATTTCACATTTAAATTTGTTGGTGCCTTTAAACAAATAAAATAACTTGAGGAAAGGAATCCAAAGTGTATGCATGTAGACTGCTTGAATATTTCTTATCGTATAAGAAAGAGGTATATTCAAAGCAGGACTTAGCCAGGTGCAATGGCTCACACCTGTAATCCTAGCACTCTGGGAGGCCGAGGTGGGAACATCACTTGAGCTCAGGAGTTCGAGACCAGCCTGAGCAAGAGCGAGACCCAGTCTCTACTAAACATAGAAAAAATTAGCCAGGGTGGTGGTGTGCACCTGTAGTCCCAGCTACTTGGGAGGCTGAGGCAGGAGGATCACTTGAGCCCAGGATAGGAGTTTGAGGTTTCTGTGAGCTACAATGACACCACTGCACTTTAGCCTGGGCAACAGAGTGAGACTGTGTCTCAAAAATAAAAAAACAAAACAAAACAAAACAAAACAAAACAAAACAGGACTCAATAATCCATCTACAGGAGTTTTAAATGGATGCTACTGCACAAGTCTAGGTCATGATGCCATGTGCTCTTTCTTCAGAGAAATAAGAAATATAATTATTTTCTGGAAGGAACTTAGACATCTCATTCTGCCATGGGAAGAGGATTGGAAAAGTGACAAGGTTTAGCCAGAATCACCTGGCTCATATGAACAGAAGTGTGAGTGGGGTGTGTATCTTTTGATTCTCAGGGTGATAACTTTTTCAACTCCCTAGGCTACTATTATTATAATTCACTTTGTCTTAGCCCAATATTTTAAGAAGGAGCCTCCAGAAGAAGTGTTAAACATCTTAAATGTATGGCATTAAGTAAAATAAAGCTTAATCTTTGCTTCCACATGCATAAGGATTAGACATAGGATTGCCATAGGTAGACAATGTTGCTTTTACTTTACAAGTGGTCTCTTTTTTAGGAAACAATGCAATTAAACTCAGATTTCTTTGCTGATCATCAGAACTACTGATCCCACACCCTCACTCTGTGATTTTTCAACATGTACTGAGTAGACTACTTTGGATGAGTGTTGAGCTCATAATAATATTGGTTCTTGTTTGTCGAGCACTTATTACATGCCAGGCATTGTTTTGAAAACTTTCCATGCATGAAGTCATTTAACCCTCGTAACAATCTCACAGGGAATACTTTTTTCTGCACTTTACACATGACAAAAATCAGGCACAGACAGGCTTAAATAACTTGTCTAAGGTCACTGTGTAAGTGGTAGAGCCAGGGTTCAAATCTAGGCAGACGTCCAGCCCAGTGAATGGGACAAAGTTCAAGGGCTAAGTAGGGGACAAACTCAAACAATAGGGCTGATATTTTGTATTTTGTGTGGGAGTTTGCTGTATTTAACCTTCTTTCTTCGTGTGCCTTGAGATTTAAATTGTTGCCAAAGAAACTAACGCCAAAGGACAACAAAACATTAGCATTCAGACTCTCACGTTCAGAATAGGATTTTTTAATTACAAAACAGGCTTGCGAGCCAGGTACTACTGAGACGTGATATGAGGGAAAAAGAAAGCTGCAGTAAGTGCCAGGCGAGGCTGTCCAGACCCTAGAGTCCCATGGACGGAAGGGGACACAGCCAATCAGGAGGACGAGGAGGAATGCCCCACCCCCTGCTACCCCAGGGGATTGTGGGAATAAGATGGCCGACACAGGTAGCTGTATGTTGGATGGATTTTGGAAATATTGGGGGCCCGAGAATTTAGGAGTCCGACAGGGAGTCCTGTGAAACCGGGATGTCCCAGGGCAAAGCAAAGGGCAGAGCAACATGTTCAGGCAGAGGAAGGTTCTAGTTTGCGCTGTCTCGGGTGGCCCGCACATCTCCTGCGGCAGAGATGCTAAGTTGAGGTCCAGCATCACCGCGGGGGAGCTTGGGACAGACCACCTGGCATGGGGGAGGGGCGGAAAACATACAGTGACATGGGAGAATTCCAACCTTAAGGTGCCTAAATCAGGAAGAGGACAACGCAACTTCCGGAGTCGAGAAAGAGCTGAAGGTGAGTTCAGGGGTAGCAGGCCCCAGTGGAGAGCGGGAACAGCCCCTCTCGGCTGGGGAGACAGAGGATCAGAGAGCCGGGCACAGATCTGAGGACCCTGCACAGCGGCAGGCCATCCTTCCCCCACCTGCAAACCTCTGAAGGTGGAGTTGGGGACATGCAAATAAGCAGATATCCCAAAGACTGAGCATTATCAGTGAGAATGTTTAAATTATTGGATCAAACTCCGTTTACAGAGCTAAAGTAAATTTGGTTACTTTATCTCCCAGAGCAAGAAGGGTGGAAGTGGCAGTTGTCAATTCACGAGGACATTCAGAACAGCTATACACAAGTTAAAGAGATTAAGTTTTTCCTGCATAACTGAGTTACATCTGTACTTTAAAGAAAAAAAAATCCTGTTCTGCATATAAACCATTAACTACAGTGAAGTCTGGGAAGTTCTGTAATAGGGTAATAACTGCTTACCATGCATCACACACTGACCTAAACACTTTACAGCAGTTAATTCATTTAAGGCTAGGTGGTGATGTTATTGCCATTTTGCAGATGAGGAAACCGAGATACAGAGAGGTTAAGTAACTGGCTCAAGATCACACAGCTGAGAAGTGGCAGATCTGGGATTGGAGCCAGTCTGGCTCTTGCATTTGTGCTCTTAACCTCCATGTTGCACTTTGTGTGTACAAAGTGTGATGGCAGTACGGTAACGAAGGTGATGTGACCCACTCTGCCTATCTGCAGAGCAGGTTGCTCAGAGGAAGTGCTGTGAGGGATTGACCTTGGAGGTGGAGAAGAGAAGCCAGGGGGTAAAAACCAGAAACAAATGCACGGTAGCTTCAAGGAACATGCGTGCAGAAAAGGGCAATGCAGCAAACCCCTTAACATGCAAAGGGATAAGTCTGCAGGCCTGCTGGAATATTCCATTTGTCGATATTACTATGGCTGTTGCAGAATGGCACACTTTATGCCCAAGATTTCTTTCTTCTTACCAAGAATAACAAATGGAGCCAGGAAAGGCTATGAAGAGATTGTTCTCATGCTTGATGCCTGACAACAAAAAAGACTCCACAAAAACCACGATCTTGCACAAAAGCCATGGCAACCTTACACACACACACACACACACACACACAGAAATACTTCTGCAAGGACATCCACCCAGCAACTGCCTGTCCAACCTTAGACTGGCGTCACCTGTGTTATTGTCCTTGGTAGCCAAGGACAATTATTTCAACAAGCTAATGCAGTCCTCATTTTTTTCTTTAAAAACCTTCATCTTCCTTTACCTCCCTGAACACACATGTAGTTTACCGTGGCATGCCTATTCCCTTTGCAGTGTTCCATTGTTCCCAAACAAACAGCTTTTCTTTTAGAGAGGTATCTCTGTTTGTTATTTCGGTTGATGATGTGTCATGAATGTTTTGCTCAGGGTGTAATTTACTCCTGAAATTTATTGAAACTGCTTTTTATATGAAAAGCTTTAAAAATTTATGTGGTCAAATCTATACATTTTCCTTCAGGGTTTCCTTATGGATTTTTCGTTTGCTGATATTATTGTTATAAAAAGTTCTTCCTTACGCCAACTCAGAAAAGTAGACCTCTATTTTCTTATCTCTGCCTCATGGTTCCATTACAGCGTAGAGGTTAAGAGCTGAATCTCTGAGTCCGATGCAGTTGATGTTGAATCCTGGTTCTGGTCTTCACTGACTGTGAGCATGTCCCCTCCTTCTGTTTCCTCCCTTATTAACAAGCCATGCAATCCAATGAGGGAAGTATGTGCCCATTATGCAAATGGGAAAACTGGTATTTAGAGAACTGAAGTTAGTTGTGCAGAGTTGTCTAGTAAGCAAGAATTGGAATTGGACACTAGTTTGCCTGTTTCAGAGCTTGTGCTCTTGTCAATTACACTTACATTTCACTCACCCACACAGAAGTTATTGTTATACACCTTTCCTATATTGTAGAGCAAGTTTTGCTAGGGTTTTACTTGGGATGTTTGTTTCTATAGTCAAAAGCAAGAATGGAGTGCAATGTGCCTTACAGAAATGTTTTACGACCTTGGTGTTCGAACTGCCTCTCTGCTCTGGCTGGAATTTGAACCTCTGATGTCATCTGAAGCCTGAGTTACCGTATTCAGCCCCTTGCAAGCACAAGACTAGACTAAATGCCCAGGCTTGACACACAACCTGCTAGCGAGACCCATAAAAGACAGGGGGCTGGAGTGAGAATAGGGCAGATCCGCTTCATTAGCAGCACTTAGCAGTTTCCTGCTGTGTCAGAATGAAAGTGTGCACTGCAAACAGGTGATAAGAAGACTCCACTCCCTCAGGCTGCTTGAAACAAGAACAGGGACTGTCGGGAGATGGTGTGGGTTCCGTTTAGAGCATGTTTATAAGTTTTCATTTAACTTGATTAGAAACAGCTGGAAAATCAGGACACTTGAGTAACCGCTCCAATGACGCAGAGGGAAAGAATGTTCATGGTCCCATAACCACAAGTTACCATCCTGGCTTCTTTTAGACAGGGAAATAATTTGCATTAATTCAATTATAAACCCCAAACTTCTGATCATCTTTGTTCATCTTTGTGTCTGTTCAGATAGGATTGTCCCCTCTTCTTTTGCTCCCCCAACTACTGTCATGGTGCTTATATGACATAATTGGCATCCAGTTTGTCTTTACAAAGGGTTTTTTTGGTTTTTTTTTTAATGTATTCATATTAATATAAGAGTCTTAAGTCATGGGCAGATGGGAGAGAACTTTTTCTAGAGAGTTGGAACAGTCAGATGTTGACCTGTCCCTTAAGACATAGGAAGAAATGTGTGTCTGGAAGAGCAGAACCCAGTCCTGGCTCTGTGGCATCCTGATCCAGCCTCCATCTAGGTAGCCGTGACTGTGGGACTGGGACCACCAAGGCCAAGTTCCAACCCCTAAGGCCAGCCCACCCCCAAGGCCAGGCTCCACCCCTTAAGGCCGGCTCCACACCAAGGCCAGGCCCCTCCCCTTAAGGCCGGCTCCACCCCAAGGCCAGGCCCCTCCCCCAAAGCCAGGCTCTGCCCCTTCACACAAGCTCCACTCTCAAGGCCAGGCTCCACCCCTATGCCCTGGAGCCCTTCCCAGGCTTGCTGGGGCAATTAGCCAAACTCTGGCCTCAGCTCTTTGATTGAATGTATAGTATTCTTTTCACAGAGAAGTTGAGAGAATTTTCTGCAGATCTTTTTTTGTTCTGCACTTGCACAGTATAAAAAATTAATTAAAACTCTAGGTGTCAACTTTACAGAGCCATTGTCAGAATCAACAGAAAAACTTCTGATTGGTGTTTCAAATAAAACATAGTTGCCTTTAATGCTAAAAACTATTACTGCTTAATTTTAAAAGGGGAAAATACGGAAGAGAAGGAAAAAGGTAAAAGACAGGGAAAAGGTAACCCATAATCCCCCAACCTCGAAACATACACTGTGAACATACTGTCCTGTTTTATCCTGGTATGAAGTAGTTTCTTCTGTCCCTCTCTCCTCTCTCATCATACGTTCTTTCTCCCTCCTTCAACCAGAGATCACCTGGTTAATTTTTGTTCACAGAGAGGACATAGAGGTGAAAAAGGAAGAGGATCCAGAAGGATCCGCACTCCTGAAAAGTTGTTGAGGTTGGCACCTCACCATGGCCTTGGATCTCCATGCACCAGGTTTTCCCAGACCCCACCAGACCTAGAATCGACTTGCTTCTTAATTATCCACAACTTTCCAAGTAGAGGTTTGCTGACAATGACCTGTGAGCAGCATGTGGATGGGAGAGGGGCAGAAGGACACGTTTTAGGATCATCACCACTTTCCCACGGCTACTTGGCCCTGCCAGAGCTCTGAAGGTTCTAGGTGCTGCACCTACAACTCCCACTCCTGCCCCATCAGTGTCTCTTAGGCTGCCCTATCTGGATCGTTTAAAAGTTCTTGTTCTACTGCCGTGGGAGAGACAGTTAGGGCTCAGCAAACATTCCATTTGCTTGTCAGCAATGCCAGCTGTTCTCCAGCGAGGCAAGGCTGTGTGAGCAATGCTCTTTTCCCTTGGTGACCTGAGGCCTGTGCTGCATGCAGATGGTGCGGCCACAAGGCGGGATGTCCAGGGACTACGTGGAGGAAAACCCCCGCTGACCCACATGGGACATGGAGCGTGAGAGAGAGGAGGAAACCTCTTCTAAGCTTTTGAGGTTTGGGATTTATTATTGCAGTATAACCTAGCACATTTTGACTAATCCAACTGGAGAGATTCTCTGCACCGGCACTATGCTCTGAGCTTTATTCTTTCTAAAATAAGGATTTGGTCATATTATTTCTTTGTTTAAAAACCATCCAGGGCTAGCCATTGTCTGAATGATGAGTTCCAAATGCCTGACCCTTGTAGACAATCTGGGCCACCTGCTAATCTCCTGGTGTTCTGCCCCCAAACTATATTCTAAACTGCAGATTGTCTGCAAGGACCAGGCATTTGGATCTCATCATTTAGCTTTGTGTTTCTGTGTCTGGACAGTGCAGGTAAAGATGTATCAGTCATGTTAGTTTAATGGCCACATTAAAGCTTTCCAACTTTAAGCCCTATGTATAAAGAAAATAGGATTGAAATTGTTTATGTGCCATTTGTGACTACAAAAATGTGTAAACATGTAGCCAGTGTTGGAAAATAAACTGTGTTATAATAATAAAGGCTGTGGGGAAAATGTATGAAGTATTTTTAATAATATTTGACATCATATTTAAAGAAAAATCAGCATCAAAGTGATAAAGAAAATGTTTACAATTCCAGAAACCGAAGCGTTCAGGAGGAAACAATTAGGTTTTAATTACTCGGAGGCTGTTGGTTTGGATTGAAATTCATTTCCTGTGCTTCAGAAAGAGCAGTTTCCTCCTTACAAAGAATATCTTCCAGCAAGAGAGAGAAAAGGTAAGATGAAGGGATAAACTCCATCCATTCATTTTTTTTTTTTAGAATAGTTCTTGGAAACAAAAAATCAGAGGGAAATAAGAGTTGTTACTAGTTCAAATGGAATTTAGAAATACTGAACGAGGTAGGTGGTCCTGCTTGTGTGACATCATGTGTTTCTAGAAACCAGAGTCTAAGAGGAGTCTTTATAAAGCTTTCTAAGCAGCTGCTGTTGCATTCGTTTGCAGCAGGCCAGTGGGTTAATACTTCATTCTCCAGAATATTCTTAGGAGAAGTTTTGAAGCAACACAGCCCTGTGCTCAAATTCTGATTCTACTTCTCACCCTGTGATGTCCCAACCAATTGCTCAGCTACCTGGGCTTTAGTGGCATTACCTGTAAATTCAGGGCAACGATACCTAACCTGTAGCTTGTTCTGAGGCTCAGTGACTTGTCATTATGTATTCGTGCATCAAGCGGCCCGAGCACATCCGCACTGGCATTCAATGAAGTTAAATATTTCGCTAGCGTTTCCCTCCTTTCTCCGGGAGCTTCAGGTGTCCCCTTTTCTTAGTGTGCCCCTTGGAAGCCCTGTGGCTCAGTTGCTGGGTCACCTGCTCTTGTTGCTGCTCCACTGTCGCTGTTCTTGCCTGGCCACCCCTCCAGTGGCGCCAGTGACTTGCATTTTCTTATTCTCATCACCTGTGGCTCTTTAAGCAACACGGGAGAAGTTCGGGTCTAAACATTGTCCTGGCATTATCTGGCCCCACAGTGAGTTTAGCTCATTATTTGCTTGCAGTCCTGTTGCAAGGCTCGAACAACTTTACAATGGGCAAACGGTTTCATGGCATTTGCATCCATTAAAGAAACATCCAAGTTGGTATTATGTGTTTAAAACTCACTACTATACCTGCACTGTCCAATCTGGTGACCACATGCGACCACTGAACATGTGCAAGTTGATCGTACAAATTGGGTCATTCTTGTCATACCCAACGAAAGCAGAGTCAAGAGGCCAGGGGGCAAAAGCACTCAGGGTAGGTAACATTGCTCCAAGAATGTAACTCTCTGCAAGGCTGGCTTTTGAATCTGCCTGCTGTAACCTGAAACCAGTTTTATCTAATAGCTACTAAAACCACCTGCTGTGACCCTAAGCCTAGTTTTACTACTACTGTCACTCATCAATCAAAGCTTGCCAGGTCCCCAAAACTTTACTAGTGCCAGTGAACTTTCTTGAAGAGCAATGTGTAACATTTCTCCTTTTTGTAAAACCTCCAACCTTCTCTTTGTCTGAAGACCACTGGTCTATGTGTATGCCCTGAATTGCTATTCTTGCCTCCCAAATAAAACATTTTAAATTGAGAGGTTCATCTCTGTATTTTATTTGGCTTCAACAGTCACTTAAAATGTGGCTGGTGGGAACTGATGCCCTGTGAAGTAGAATGCATACTGGATTGCAAAGACTTTGTACAGAAAAAATTTTAAATATTTATATGTAGTTCTTTTGATTACATACAATATATCATTAACATTATTTTGAGCTGTTCCTTTTTACTTGCTTTAATGTGACTACAAGAAAATTTTAATGTGGCTCATATTCTTGTACTAAACAAACCTGAAAAGCAAACATATGAACTGTGGCAAGAATACTGCAGTCATCAACAGCTTAGGTACCATGGAGGCAGCTTTTCTTTTGGAAAAGATTAGGAAATGTAATTATTCATGTTTTGAAAGCATGCTGCAGTCTTTTGTATTCACCTTTCATAACAGCTGTGTTGTCGTTTGATTGACCACTTGGTTCATTTAGCTGAATAAAGTCACAGATAATTTTTAATTGGCAAGAAGGTTTAAAATTCATACATAGGGCTTTCTGCTATAAAGGCCATGCATAATCATTACCAACTGATAAGTATATGTCATACCCACTATAGAATTTAAAATAATGAAGTAGTATCTGGTTTACTGTCCCCATTATTTTGGTTACAATTTTAAAAACTGTTCAAAAAATTAAGTCACTTTGTTTTAAAATTTCCAATTGTTCACTCAGGAATGAATCACATTCAGTAATGAGCTCAGGAAGTCCCATAAAATTTCCAGGGTTTGAAGAAAGCCGCTTTTCATTGTGACATAGGGAGGACAACCCCTCTACTAAAAAAGATCAATAAACACAACTCTTTAGCAATCAAGAGAGTACTATATTTCTGTGTTTGGTCTTCAGGACATTGGCCTACTATATTTTTATTTGATCAATATGTGATCCAAGTAAACATGGCCTTCTTGAACTTTATGACTTTTTTTTTGGAGATTTTCAATATATTCACCCAAAATGAAAACTCATCTAATGAATGTCTGTCTTGTTGAAAACAGTGTACAAACAAAAACAGTATGCGTGGTCTTGGAATAGGGGAGTAAGCATCTCATGACAGTTTGATCACTTTTAGAACATCTTTGTTTTACATGTGTATATATTCTATTTGATTTTCTGTAAATATTACTGGCATGGTAATTTTGGGGAAAAATCACTATATTTTCATTAAATGGTATAACAAGCTATAAAGAGAGACTACGGTATTTATCAAAGTCAGAGAATTCATCAAAATGAAGCTTCTATTGGTCTTTGTGTACTTTTTGCACATTTATTTTACTTCAATCTTATTTTAATATTCCTTCCCCTTTACAAGTATCCTGATTTTCATCGTATTTTTAAATTCTTCTTTGTCATTTTTATTACCTACATCTTCTTGGCATTCTTAACTCTTTTCTGTATCTTCATGAGTTTTAACCATCAGATTTTTTAAAATAAAGTTTTTACTGTGATATATAGGAGAATTTTTGACATTTTCAGTTCTGCCAGTCTTCTTTCTTTTAGTTGACAGGTTGGTTTTCCACTAGGCTACTTCTTTCATATTGTATTTGAATTTTAGTATGAACAATAAATCTGAAGACATATCCCAGATTAACTTGTAATTAAGGCACACACAATGGCAATTTGAATGCATTCTTTAAATGTTTATGGTGCTGCTTTGTTCTGTTAAGATGTGTTACTGTTTAATCAAATCACTCTTCTGCTACTACATTGACTAATTATTCATGATTGAGTTCAGGAGTTTTATCACTGGATCACTTGGGTCAGTGACTAGTTTTCCTGTGGCTTCCTCTGGAACCATCAGACTTTTTTAAAACAAGATCTATAGAGATATTCTGAGATACAATGCAATGTGTTAAGATGCATAAAACATATAACTTTGCACACAGACCTATACCGGTATAGGTCTGTGCCCTACACACATGAAGAAGTCTGATCAATTCACTCCACTGATTTTCATCAACAAAGAGGAATATTATGTGGGTTTTTATTATTTTACACACTGGATTATTGAGTCTGTTCCTAATAGAAGAGCATGTCCATTTTGACCAGGTCTTAATGAAATTAGAATCATCTGCCTATTGCTTTACATATCTGATAATAGGAAGAATTCTCCACAGACCAGTTTCTGTCTCCACATGTAAATGCTAGTTTCTCCTTCACTACCCACTATAGCAGCGCTGGTCTGTAGGACACGTCCTTATCACAATGTGACCTCTGACCCTACACCATCATGTCACAACAGGACAAGTTGTTGGGGGCAACATAGGAGTATTCCTGGAGTCTACCCCTCTAACTGGGAAAGCCAGCAATAACTTCACACAAAAGTCACTGTGAACCTCATAGATACATCCCCCTAGACCCAATTAAATATAACCCCAATTCAACTTCCCCTTAGATGGAAGCTAAAAACTGCCATGATCTCTGAAGATACTCAACATGACAAAAAGGAAGATAGAGGAAAAGTAGGAGTGGAGAGAGACAGAGGGCTTGACCAATCATGCTTAAAATATCTTTAAAAAATTTTGTGCTTATTTTACAAGAACATCTGACCATATGAACACATTGCTAAGCCCCATTCCAGGGTGTTGGAAGGGGTCCATGCAAGTGAAATGCCCTGAAGTATAAGCTTTAAATTAGCTTCACAGTGAGTCAGACGCTGTGTCAACCCTGAGCCAGAGCTTGGAGACATGGCCCAGGTAGCTCATTTCTGTCCTGCGTCAAGGTACAGTCCACGCCTGCCAACTGGGCTGCTTTTCCAGATGTGGTCACCTGTGGCTTTCCCTTCCTTCAGGAATGTTCACTGGAACTGGGGAGCCCCACTATCCAGTCCTACAGGGCGGACAGTGTCTCCCAGGTGGTCACTGCATCTAATAAAGACTTGTCTCCTTCTGGCTTGTTCTGCTAATCTGGGCTGCCTCACCTGCACCCCCTCCTCATCTCTGATCTTCACTATGAGTTCTGGAAGAAAATACCTTTGAGTGAGTAAAGAATATGAAAAGTTAAACACCATGTTATCAGGCAAAATTTAAAGTGTCAAAGAATGAGAATCAAGAATCTACACAAACTTTGTATATTGACAGTGACAGGAAAAAAAGTCCGCTCTTGTAGGATGCTATTCTAGCTATATCAGAGCATAATGGCTTGGAAATGATTCTGGGAAGAGGATCAAAAGGTCAGAGTGGATGACCTCACACAAACTCAGAAGAATTTTTAAACCAGTTGTGTCATACAAACTCAGAAGACTTTTGAACCCAGATTTTGGGAGAGGATGCGATAGCTGCGTTTCAATAATTACTATGTGGATTTACAAGGAAAGGGGTGAATAACTTAGCTTGGTGCAAAGCATTCTAAATTAAGCCAAATGAATTTAATTAAGTAAAATATAATTAGGGCCAAATGTTGTGAAACTCCATTAGGCTATGGAAATCTCCCAAAGGAGATGCAAGTAACATCATTACTCAGAACTGGGAAAATAATATCGCTGAATGTGTTGTGAGTAACTGCACTGTCTTCCATCCAGGGAACTAACTGGATGCCCAGACACATGCGTACTGTTTCTCTTCTCCAAATGCCATAATTCTGCAGTAACTGCATCTTTGTTTACCCAGTGGTAAATTATGAGAACAAATTTCTTCATTAATATAATCTTTAAATACAAAGACTGTTGCTTAAAGAGTTCAATTGCTCAAAGCCCTCATTAAAATGTGGTCATCTCATCTCATAGCTGAATTTTCCATGAAAACCAATTAGTTTTGGTGCTATGCAATGAAGCGTGCCAAACTGGAAAGAAAGAGATGACAGCGGGGAGGACAGTTGTCACCTAGCCAGCCTACTGAAATTAATTAGTAGTGTTCGCTTGCCGCTCTGGTTTTGAAGAAGGTAATGTCCTGATCCATTAGTGATGTCTGCCATGGTATGGGATATGCCAGCCATGGCTTGTCCGCCATTTGCAAAATTCTCTTAGATAAGAGGTAGATAGAGGTCAATTGACCTCATCAGAATCCATGATGCCCAGGCAGTAAGGACACCTCTCTGATGTTCTGGAGCTGAGGCTTTTGGCTTCTCTTTTAAAGAATGACAGCAGCACCAAAGAGACTAGGAACCGGTGTTTTAACACTACTACCTTAGTCTCTGGGACTTGTGTCTATACTACTGAGCTGTATACTCTGGCTTCCGGGAATGTTCTTAGAGGCCATTTTGCACAATTGTGTTATTTTTTTCTTCCCATTTTCTAGATAGTCAATGCATTTTTATTAGAAATTTTCCTTCACATACACTTACGTTATACGTGTTATTGACATATCATATCAATATATTTTCAAGTGCCTGAAATAAGAGTGATATTATTAGTTCGGTATCAAACTTGGTACTAATAGATTAGAAATTTATCCTATTTTGGGGAGAAAAATCAAATGCAGATGAAAGAGTTAGAAAATGATGTAGAGCAATGATAACGTCCCATACTTAGAAGGATGTTGTGGGAAGCAGTAGAGCTTAGTAGTCTGAGCTAAAAATCCCAACTTTACCAATCACTCATTGTTTAACTATGGGATAATTAGCCTATAACCCTCAATTTTTATTATCTGTAAAATGATTTTAATAGTGGTATTTTTCTCTTAAGTTTGTCATAAGAATTAGATTAAGTAGACCATATTAAACACTTGGTAAAGCATCTAGCTTAAACATTTAAAAAAATTTGGTGATAATAATCCTAACAATGATTATAATGATATACCTGAACAGAATCATCTTGTTATTTTAATATAATTATGAGGAAACTGAGGCGAGAGAAGCTCTTTCAGACACCTTTGTCTATAAGACAACTTAGAGGCAGAGTTGGGATTAGAATTCAGAGCCTCTGGCTCCCAGACCTGTGACCTGAAATTCTGTGGGAGCTGAAGGCTCCTCCTCTGCTGTCATTTTGTGTCACTGGTCTCAGGTCCCAGGTAGTCATATATGATTAGTCTTAAGTCTGTGTAGGCACTTGTCAATCTCTGACCTGTTGGCCATCCTAACAGGTTCTATTCCTATTTTCTTTTGTTGTCATGGAGTCAGCCATTTCTTGTTCTTCAGGAAAAGTGGCTCATTTGGCACTTGGACTCAGGAGACACAGCAACACTGGTGGCTCCTAACATGCCCCATCAGTGTCCTTTGTAATTAACGTAAGCCACAAAACTGGATGTTCTTGACCTGCATCTAAAGAATCCTGAGCAAGCCCCAGCCATCCTCTCTTGTCTGTTAGTAGCAAAAGCCAGACAATGGCAGATGTGAGTCAGACTCTGGTGTCAGGCTACACCTCAGGCTGACCTCGAACATGCTCTGCCTGGGGTAGAGGCCCAGGGACAGTGAGGAGACGCTTTCCCTGCCTTGCCATGGGATTATCACTTTGCAGAGGACCATCTAATCCATTTCAAGTTGGCTGTTTTCACTTATGCTTTTTTTTTTCTTTTCCTAGCAGACACCTAAGGACATCTGACAACATGATGACAACCACCTCCACCTTTCCAAAGGCTTGTCAAGACACAGACAAAACAGGTAGAAATAGAATTTCACATCAGCAGAAAGCCAAGCGCTTCCTATCTCCTTTCCGGGACTGACATGTTTAGTCTTATGTCCTTCTGGTCTTTCTTTTTTGCTTTACTTACTTGCTAGGCTTGGCCAGAGGCCAAGGTCAGGGGATTTAATCAGCAGGCTGCCTGCATGGGAGGAGATTGATACAACCAGGCTTCTCTCCTCCAAGGACATAAACCATTCCTGCTGCAAAATTTTCTTTATATGTTATATGGCTTTGACTTGACCGCAAGGCCAGCGTAGCTCTGGCAATAACTGGGATTGTATTGAATGAACATGAAGCATGGTCTCCTCATTCCTTAGAGCCTTTTATTATTTTGAGAGCAGACGGTGATTTTTCCTCCATGCACTTGTTCGATTTGCACATATACACCTAGGTCTGTGAGAAGGGGTGCATGTTACTGTATTATTATCTAATATTTGCAAGGAAATATCCAACTTCTCACGTAAAGCATTTATCATAGTACCTGGCACTTGGTAAGTGCTCAGTACGGTTAACCATTAGTATAATTTTTGTAATTTTTATTGTGTAAGTAGCATATTCTTTTAGTGTGTAGTACTATATATTTTAGGAAGAACTGGCATATTATAGAATTTCACAACTATTAAATAATTTTCAACTGTAAGCTCATTTAGTTTTTGGAAAATTAGCTTAAACTCCACCTTTACATAAAATTTTCTCCATTGGTTCTAATCTCTCCCTTCTCTGAACCACTTAATCTGCTTCTATTTGTCTCCTCTCTCTGCATTCACACACATAACTCTGGGAACTGTACACTGTCCTCTTTTGCTCTGTGCTGAGTCCCATGAAGTGACATGACTCAGGATCCCCTGCTGGCTGGATTCTCCTGGGAGGTGCCAACAGAAGATCTAATCAGAGATGTAGAAGTCAGTATTCTCCAGAGAAATAGAACTGATATAAAGACATTTATTATAAGCAATTGGTTCACATGATTATGGAGGTGGACAAGTGCTAACATCTGCAGGGTGAGTTCTCAAGCTGGAGACCCAGGAGAGCTGATGGTGTAGTTCTAGACTTGAGACCCAGGAAGAGCCAGTATTTCATTTCAAGTCCCAGGATAGGACAAAAGCTGATGCTTTGCTTTGAAGGCTGTCAGGCTGGAAGCACATTCTTTTATATGGGGGAGGGTCAACTTTTTTGTTCTTTTTAGGCCTTCCACTGATTGAGGGCACTGATTGAAGTAGTTTACAGAGATAAATAAAATGTAGTAAAAGAACATATGTTTAAAATATATGAGAGTAAAAGAGAATATAAGAATAAGCATAGTAAAATAAGATGGAGTGAAGAGTGAGGTTAGAATCCAATAATGCATGCCAAGAATCATATACCCTTATTAGCAGTTGGCCATAAACTTGGCTTTAAGCTTTCTAAGAGTCCATTCAAAGAGGAGAGCATTAATAGTTACTCAACCAGAGTTTCCATAAAATAAACAATCCAATTACTCAGGAGCAGTCCTGGCAGAAAGGCATAATGTAGTCTTCAACAATATCCTTACTGTCAAGGCAGAGAAGGGGTTTTCAGGGTTGTTGCTTATAAAGTCTGCCTAAATAAACCAAGGACATCATGCCCAACTATTAACACAATTCAGGGAAAGCAATTCTACCAGGGGCCTGCCAAGATGCATTTCTGGTAAACAGCTCTTGATCCAGCTTAACCGAGGAGTGGAATTCAGAGACTCTAGAGAAAAGCATGGTTTGTGCATTCTTCTGGAAAATCTCCATGCTGGGTCTCTTTACAATATCTGTATATCTGGATCTACCTATATAAAATAACAGAGCTCTGGCTCCAGTAATATGATTATTTGAACTGAAATAGACTCCATCCTTTCTAGAAACATAAAATATTAATAAAACAGAATTATAAACACTTAGCCAAATTGAAGGAACAAATAGACTGTGTCCAGACCTCAGCACCAGCTAGAAAGTTCTCAGGCACAGTGGTAGGCTTGCCAGCTGCCTCTGGTGGCCCATGAGGACATCAAACCTCAAGATAGGTCCAAAACTATGAGAACGTCATGCTTACAGAAGGAAATGGTGTTGTGGTCTTAGCCCTCTGCAAAGTAGGGAGCTGAACTTGGGAAAAACTATACAGATAAATCCCCAAAAAGAAGGACTAGAAAAATTCTATTAGCTTGTCTCTGGTTAGGGCTCTGATTTAAAAGTAAAAAATCAAATAAATAACAACAAAAAAAGGTCTCTTATAGAAATGAAATGCCAATCCTGAGCCACTTGTAAGTGTAGATAGAGTCCTAGTTTACAGAATCGTAGCTGCAAAATTAACATAAAAATGGTTCCCAAACCTGGGAAACCCATGGGACACTTGGCAAAAGAAAATGCAAAACATATCTGTAGGGACATTTCCAGGCTTAGGGGACACCAGCAGAAACAAACAACTTCAGTTGAAGATGAACTCACAGTAAACATTTACAAACCACCACAACAACAAAAAAAAAATCACATAAGGGAAAGTCAGCAGATATTATATAAATACAGGAAAATATGTGCTCTCCACCCAACTGGAATTTTAGAAGGCAGTCTATATAATAACTATGTTTAAATAATTAAAAAGTTAAAGGAGGGAATAGAAACCGTATGAAAAATGAGGACATTCAATAAAGGAGACTCTAAACAGAATTTAAAATAAAATATATAGTTATTGAAGTTAAAAACTCAAAAGATGGGTTAGATAACAGACCCAGATACAATGAAAGAGAAGAAAGACCCGAGGAAATTCACAAACACTATTTTCATTTTGAGCCTCTCAACAATTCTACGAGAGGAAGGGTGAGAATTATCCTCTACATTAGGTGGATGAGGTGGTTTAGACTGAGAAGGTTAAGAAACTTGTCTAGGTCTGTACAGTTCAGGAGAACATCAGGACTGAAACTCTGGCTTTCTGACTTGGGTTCATGGCTCATTTCTCCACATAACATTATTCCAAAGTAGCAGTAGTGGGAACCCTCGCATGATGGGCTCTCCAAGAGTGTCATCTTCATTCCTGAGCCTGTGCTGTCATCTTTACCCAAACAGCCCAAGATCTCTGAGCTCTTGAAGTCTATAAAGACGCAAGGAATCTCACCACCTCTGACACCCCCAACACCTCAAAGGCTACCTTCTGCATAGAGACTCGTTCACTCTGTCTCTCGTCTCTTGTCACCTCTGCGTTTCCAAGGACATCTTCATCATTGTTTCCTCTGTGCTCCATCTTGTCTCTGCACAGGCCTTTGCTGTAAACTTTTCATTTCATATTACAGCTGGCTCTTTGTAAATCTCTCTCCCTCTCTCCAACTAGAAAGTGAGTTCCTTGAAGGCAAGCCTGTATTGTCTTCCTCTATTAGCATCCTGGTACCTTCCAGTGAGTCATTCGGGGAGAATTTAACAAAGGGACCATTTACAAAGATGTAAGCAGGATTTAGGAAGTGAAGACAACCATGTGGTGTCCTCCCTTCCCTTTTCTGTCTCCCTACTGACCCTCATGTATCTACTGCCCCTAGGCCTGAGCAGTTACTGGGACCCTTCTGGAATCACAGAAAGCGCAATGGATGGGGCTGTGCTGGCAGGAGAGGGGCCCTGCCTAGAGGGTGCAGCCAGGCCACAAGATCCCCAGTTGGGAGATCCTGTCTGCTGGCTGATCCTGACTGGAAGCCAGAAGGCCAAGGAGCCCTTGGTGAAGGTTAGTGTCCCAGAGTGCAGAGCAGGGAGAGGCAGAAAGTAGGGCAGATGGAGAATGTGCCCACATGTTTGCATTTCTGTGGTGTAGAAGAGTGCCCAGCATACAGTTAGTGCACAGAATATTTTTAATTGAATTGCTGAATCTTAGATATTGCTCATTGATATAGAAAATATGGAAAATATTTTTTGCATTGTCTAGCACAGTTTAAATCAGAGAAATATGAGATATATTATCAAGGTTTCAAAAGTTATCATGTCATGATGAACTTAGATTTCTAAACCAAAACATAAAGCTAACTGCTCTATTTAGGAATATCATAGCCAAGGTATACAATGCTGTATGACTATGAAGTTATAATTCTTTCCTACTAAATGGATTCAGCTCAAGATTTTGTATACTCCCCAATATTAGAAAAATATATTTGTGGTTTTTTTTTTTTTGGAGACAGGGTCTTACTCTGTCATGGAGGCTGGAGTGCAGTGGCATGATCATAGCTCACTGCAGCCTCAAACTCTGGGGCTAAAGCGATCCTCCCACCTCAGCCTCCTGAGTAGCTGGAACTACAGGTGTATGACATCATGCCCAGCTAATGTAAAAACATATTTTTTGTAGAGATGGAGTCTATGTTGCCCAGGCTGATCTCAAACTCCTGGCCTCAAGCAATTCTATCTGGGCATTATGAAGTGCTAAGATTACAGTCGTGAACCACTATGCCTGGGCTATTCTACTTTTCTTACTCAAATGCAAAAGCTCTTTGGCCTGTTTAATAATTAAAACACCATGAGACTTGGACTAAAATGCAAATATTGCAGCTAACAATAAACATGCACAAATATATTAGTTACACCTCCTCCAAAGAAACTGCTGGCTCCCTAACTCCCCCCAGTGACTGGCAAATATCCAAACAGGTACTGCTGGGCCTCCAACTTTCCAAAGCTCTTTCACCTACAGTCAGAGTCTCTGATTTTATTAATATATCTACATGGAGATGTTGGTAACACAAAATCCTTGCTTCAAAGGCCTCTCAGTATAAGATTTTCAATTGATCCTTTTAATAAAAACACCTTGAAGTATCTGCATCATGCACTCACACTCCTTGAACATCTCTAATTAATAAACTGAGATTGTGGCTCTAATGCAAACTCCCAGTGATGACTCATTTGCTAAAAATTAATGGCTTATGTGATTAATTACACAGGGTAGTCGGCCCAGGAAAGTCCTGGTTTGTGCCTGTGGTCCGGGTGTGATCAGTGGCAGTCCCTGGTGCTTT